CAGATATTTATATTTTATACTATTGAATTTTTAAAATTTCTACTTTTCCATGTTTATATTTGCTTCATGTTCTTAGCTGATAATAATGAAAGATTGTAAAATATTTAGTGCTACCCTTATGAAACACCCCTTCACATTTTTAGGAAGACATTTCTTCCTATAGAATTTTTTATCTTTTTAAAATTTTTTTATTTTATGTGTATGTGTGTATTGCCTGCATGTATGTTAGTGCACCCGTGTCATGTAATGCCTGTGGAGAACAGAAGAGGCCATCAGATCCCTTGGAACTGGAGTCATGGACAGTTGTTAGCTGCCATGTGGGTCCTGGGATTCGATCCTGGGTCTTCTGCAAGAATAATCAGTGTTCTTAACTGCTGAGCCATCTCTCCGGCCCCCAAATTCTTTATCTTTATATTGTGGAAAGCATATGTTCCAGCTCAGAGGAAGGTTTTCAGTTAACTTTTCCATCCCTGTCTATGCCATGACGTGGAAGGTTCTCAGCAACAGTTAATGGGTTAAAAATGAATCATAATGATCAGTTATTTTATGTGAAGAATACTTGTTCAAGAGATTAAAGCTTATACAGGTGCATTATACTTCTGATTTTATCATATTTCCTCCTCCCACTCCCCATTCTCTGATCTGAGAGATTCTTACACTTGGGACTCTGCTTGCTCCTGCTATAGTTTCTTGGACATCTACAGAGTGCTCAGTGGTGAGGGTCCCTTCTGATGGGGAAAGTCATTTTACTTTTTCAAATTTAACATGTATAGTTTAAAGCGATGTGGAGCTGTTAAGAAGTGAAAAGCTACGAGATAAAACATACTACATGGCTTACAGATCTACAGTGTTTCTGCATGCCTCGATGTAACTCTAACTCAGATGTTAATCATACACTCGACTGCTGAAGCCACAAAATAAGAAAGTGCAGTGACATAACTCTTACATTCAGAAAATGACCCTAGACATTAAACTCTCTTACTGGAAAGGATCACAGGTAGAAAGCGTGTCACTTGACTGGTACTGTGCTGTACTTTGGACTTTTCTGGGACGTCCAAATGCAAGAGCAGAAGTGCCATTGAGCCCCACAGCACAGTTCTGCAATGGTGAGAAAATCCTGGGAGCGCTCCACAACTGACTGTGTACCAGGGTCAGTTTGCAATGTTCTAATCTAAGTTAGCAATCAACATGAAAATACTTTGCTTTTGAATCAGTGTTAGGGCAATTATTGCCAAACCTTAATATTAGACAAAAGACCATATAATTGTGAGGAGATGAGATTGCATTAGAAGGATGAATCTGGACTAAATAGTCATGAAAGGATGTTGCTCAGTACAGGCATGTATCAGCCTAGATGGGTTGTAAGCTTTAAAATTAATCTGCTCCTTTCAATGTAATTTAAATGCATATTTTGATAAGGAAATCCAATTTTTCTATGTTCAAATTTTTAAATGTCCAGAATGAATCTAAACTGCCTTTCTAAATAATTATAGTAGCACAATATTATGTCAAGTATTGAAGGTCAATTTGGTTCTTGCACTGTGAAAACAGTGGCGGCTGCACAAGATTATTGGAGACTTGCTTTGGTTTGTGTTTTACAGACAATTTTTCAGGCTGTCCTTCCCTCCTTTCTTCTTTTTTAAGATCACCCATTTATTTATTATTTTTAACGCTTATTTACTATTTATTTATTTATTTATTTATTTGTGTGTGTGTGTGTATGTGCTACTGGAAGTCAAAGGACAATGTGCAGGAGTTGGTTCTCTCCTTCTAGCATGCAGATTCTGGGGATCAAACTCAGATCGTCAAGCTTGGCAGCAAGCTCCTTTAACGCACCGAGCCATCTCACTGGCCCTCTGGGTTCTTTTGAGTCAGGATCTTGCTATATACCCCAAGCTGGTCTTGGATGTGAGGCCATCTGGTCCCACTGCAGCTTCCCAAGTGTTGGGTTACAAGCATGTGCTACCAATCCCAACTTTTGTTGAGATTTATTTTAGCAAATCACAGATTTGGAGAGCAATTTAAACAAAATATTTTATTTTTAAGGACTAAGGGATCAAAAATTATATCATCTGAGATTAGCTACATTTTCAAAACAAAGTAGATCACAGATTGCTATTATTAGTAAGTCCAAATTTCTTTTTAAAAGATCAGAGAGGGGAGTCGGGCATGGTGGCCCACACCTTTAGTCCCAGCACTCAGATCTCTGTGAGTTCAAGGCCAGCCTGGTCTCCATAGTGAATCCAGGTCAGCTGTGGCTACAGGGAGACCCTGTCTCAAAAAGACAAAAAAAAAAAAAAAAAAAAAAAAGATCAGAGAGGGTTGATGTTATATCCATGAGGAAGCTTGTTCTGGGACAAACAGCACATTCTAAAGTTCACCTGTGCAGTCCCCATCAAGAAGATGAGATAGCGGACACTGCTATGTTTGAGCAGTTTTTCAAAGAGAAACATCAATATGAAGAGGAAGTTAGGAATATTGAAAACGGCTTCAACAAGTGAAACGGCAAGGCCAAGTGTCTGTGACATCTGAGGCTCCCGTTCCCAACTGGTATGTGAGACATCTCACCAAAAAAATGTGATGATCAATTTACGCGATCAGTGGTGTATATTTGTGAACAGCAACAAGAGTACCGAATTAAGTTGTATCTAGATTGACCAGGGAGCAAAAGGGGGGAATTACTGAAACTCATTTGTCTAAAATATATTTTGTATGAGTTCTTGAGTAAAACTTGAGAACCGAAAAAAAAAAAAAAAAAAAAGATCAGAACAGTAAGAGCTGCAGAATTTTCATGGGCTCTTTCTTTAGAAAAGTCTCAACATTTCCTGGAACTGAGCTGCTGAATGAGTACTCAAGAGATTCTTACTTTCAAAAGGGGGGAAAAAAAAACCTGTTTTTTTTTTTTTTTTTTGGTCTTTTTGAGACAGGGTCTCCCTGTAGACCAGGCTGGCCTTGAACTCACAGAGATCTGCCTGCCTCTGCCTCCTGAGTGCTGGGATCAAAGGCGTGGGCCACCACACCTGGCAAAACCTGTTATTAAATTAGAGAAATGTTAAAGAATATGAAAGCCTTCTGGAAAGCTGCTTCTATCCTACGTGCTTAAATAAAAGCTTCCCCAATGATTTCAAGAATACTGAAGACTGGCTGGGTATGAAGTGCACCCTTTTAATCCAGCACTGGGAGGCAGAGATGGAGGGAGAGGCAGGCAGATGTCTGTGACGCTGAGGCCAGCCTGGTGTACATAGTGAGTTCCAGCCCAGATGGAGTCACAGAAGACTCAAACAAAAGAATTCTGAAGACAAAGTCCTAATTTCAGCTCCAAACCACTGTTAACAGTTTCTTGCTCCATTTCCCATTCATATTCCATATTTTGCCCATAGCATCAGCTGCTACTGGATGAGGGAAAGGTCATGGTTTTAAGAGATTTAACTTAATGCGGGCTTCACATGTATTGTTTACTATAATCTGTCTGTTATGTGAAATTTAGCCACACTGGGCACTGAGACCCAGATGCTTAGTTGATAAACTGCTAACACTTGTTTCCTGCCTCAGACTCAAACCAGAATGTGAGTATAAACACATTCCTTGCGGAAACACAAATGATAAGCATAACATATTCATAACTTGGTTAGTTAAAGCAATAATGGCTAATGTCATTAATTAAAATTTAGTTCCTAAACAAACTTAGTTTGCATAATGTAACATTCATAGCACAGGTTAGAGTCACATAAAAACCACCAGGAAAAATATTTGCAATGAAAGGGGGAAAAGGAATAGAATTAAAAAAATATTTTATTTATTTATTGTATTTATTTTGTGTGTGTGAGTATATTGCCTGCATGTATGTAAGTGCACCCGTGTCATGCAATGCCTGTGGACGTCAGAGATGAGTGTCGGATCCCCTGGAACTGGAGTTACAGACAGTTGTTAGTTGCCGTGTGGGTGCTGGGAATCGAACCTGAGTCCTCTGCAAGAGCAACCAGTGCTTCTAATTGCTGAGCCATCTCTCCAGGCCCAGGAATAGAATTTTTAAAGGACTTTCCATGATTATATATTGAGACTGTTTATATTCTTTTCTTCTCATGAAGGACAGAAGCATGCAGTGTATGCTTTAAGCATGCAAAGTAAGTTGCTGACACTCCAACCCCACTGATATTGTTAGTTTCAAGCAGCTGAGTCTATGAAGACGCTAGATGAGAAACTCCTGCTACATAGCAGCTTGCTTTCACACTTTGCTATGGTCGGCATCAAGACCTTTTAACATGGAAAACAGCTCATAACACGGCTCAAAGCATGCAAGTACATCGCTCTGCAATAATCATGTTCAGACTAGATGATAGTGATGCAGAATGACTGTGATGAGGTACAAAGAACATTCATAAGATAGAAAGGTTACCTTTTGCCCCGGACGACCAGACTCTCCAGGTTCTCCCTGACCAAAGGAAAACGAAGATGAAAAGGACGGACTTTTCCAAAGTGCTAGGTCTCTGGGCATTTACAGGAATGGCCCAGCATCCCACTTGATCACATGCATTTCATTCACTTTACTGTCCTGTTCTCCATCACACAAGACATAGGGAAATTTATTGTTGCAAATATACATATAATACACACAGAAATATATATTCCTATAAAACTAATAAAACCTGGAAGAGAAGGCAAATCCTCATATTTAAGGCTTCATGGGATTTAGCAGATTTTCCTGCTGTGTTTGGAAGCTCAGAAAATAGGAACAGAGCTGTTACCATCAATGTTGGTAAAGTGAAGAGAAAAGAGAGGCTCATGCAGTCAACACTATGATTTTCAAGGTCTATACACTTGAAAGGCCAGTTACCTTAATTCCTGCAGCAGATGATCCAGGGTCACCCTAAAATGAAACAGAAAACATCACAAATATTCAGACAGCCACTAACCACATGGATGCTCAGAGGGACTACATGCCTAATGGGCCTAACTGTTCCCCATAAGACTTTGCATACCAATAGGCCAGCCATTAAGATGGCAATAGTCTGCAAGATAAACCATGCACTGCCTAAAAACATGGGTTTGCTCTGAATGCAAAACATACACAGAAGACATTCTTTGAAATAAACATACCAACACGAGTGCTTCCCTTGATACAGTACCAAAATATATTCTGCATCAATAAATTATAATTTAGGGATCTGAAACTTCAGTTTTCTCTTTCTGGGATTTATTGATATCATTGGCTATTAGTTACAGGACTTTGCACACCCTTCTTTGGCTTTGGAGTGTCAAGGGTTAAAAGATGAAGTCAAAGGGCTAATCACGTTGAGTTGTAAAAGGCCTTGAGGCAGATCAGTTTGTTTTCCTCTTACAATGGGTGGGTGTGTCTTTTCTGGCTTTACACCCATCCCATTGTAACTGGTCACCAGTAAGTCACAGGATGATGGATGGGTTGTGGGTGACTGGGACACATGGAGGGGCTAAGAGAAAGTCTTGAGATAGAATCTGGCTTTTTAAAAGAGATTGTGTTCCCCCAGACTTAATGGAGGATGAATCTACTCCTAAAAATACATTCTGCATAAAGAGATAGGGACTAGTGAAGACAGGAACATGGAGAAGAAATTACTACCTATTTCTAATATTTTCAAGATCATTCTAGCCCTCTCTGTTCTGTGAATACGTGAGAAGTTCAAAGAAAAGGAGAAAACTTAGTCATTGGAGACTGTCAAGAAAACAGAAAAAAGAGGACGACCCCGTTGGGATTTCCTCCGCTGTCTCATGTGCGCAAACGCTCCAGCAGTTCCAGGGATCTGTTTCTTGTTCTAGTGTCCAGAAGCTGCTCATCAATCTCGTTTAGAAACAGACAGACAGATGCCTTGGCCCTTGGCCCCTCACTCATCTCCTCTCACTTCCCATGATGGCACCTGGTCTTGGTTTAAGTGGTTTTGCCTCAAAGAACCCTTTACCAGTTAACTTCCCTATGGTGCTGTTTGTGTCTGGCACAGTTTGCTTTGTAAATTGCCTGTTGATGTTTCCCACATATACACCGACCTTTCAGCAGACAGTCAGCTGCACATGGGCAGATTCAGCATCTACTTTTATTCAGAGCCTGACCATTGTCTATACTCAATATATAGATGGTGAACAAGTGAACACTTGCTAAAAGAATTTTTTAAACAGGTCAGCAGTCAAGGATCAAAATGAAAACAGGCCTTTAGGAAGACACTCCCCCGAAACCGTAGAAAGGAGAAGGAGATAGTAAATTTAGTTTGTGGAGGAAAGAAACACATATGTGAATTTCTTTGACATCTGTAATTGCTATTACCCAAGGAAAATTTTAAATGCAGCTAAACAATAAGAGAATTCTAAATACGGTCTTTCCAAAGAATGATCCTCCTCCTCCTAACCATCACCATTCAGATGAGTTCCAAATGGAAGGGGAAATAAATGTAGCAAATAAAATAATACTTATTTCTCTTTCTACCAAATAAAGTCTGGGAACCATCAACATTAATGGACCAGGTTTGCAAGATTTTGCATAATATGACATTTGTATTTATAGAAACAATTTGATTTTGAAAAGTTCCTTCTTTCATTTCATTCATACCTTTAACACCCCCGCCCCCCAAATGGAGGTTCCCATTTCCATTTGCCAGAGGACAAAGCTGAAGCCCCTAGAAGTGAAGGGAGCTTCCAGCTCCTGAAATTGTGCTTCCATCTTGTTTTTATTAGAGTAAGAAAAAGCTTATTGGCTTACAACATTTTGAGAACAGACATAAAGGCTGTAGAAAACAAGTCAACAAAAGGAAGCTGCAGGTAGCTTTGTCAGCATTTCACTGCAAAGTGCTTGGCTCATCTACTCTACGAGAATAAACACTAGATTCGGTTCTCACAGAAACAGGTAGAAAAGAGAGGAGTGCTTTCCGAAAGGCTGCTGTACTTGTGGAAATCTGAGAGGTTTCATTTGATGAACAACTAAGAATCATATTTGTATTCTCTTTTTAAAGATTTGAAACTGTGAAATCTCCAGGAATTTTTGTAACTTTCAAGTGGCAAAGTGACTGAAGGGAGAGATTCCTAAGTTAAACATTTTGAAGGATAATGCTCCAAGTAGCTGAAATAAAACAGGGTGTTTATAATCCTCTCCCCAAAGTGAAAGTGAATACAGGATTAAAGCAGGGAACAGCCTCCAGCTATGTCTGAAGTATAAGCCCACATTCATCAGTCAGTGGGTTAAATCACAGATAGATACTGGAAGGAGATATTTGAGATGAAGGAACTCGACTGTTCTTCACTTTCATTCAAGCACTGGTTTTGTTCATGATTATTTTCAAACACAATGCTCAGTAAGTAATTGTATGTATATGTTAATAAAGACAGAATAAACAAATGCATGGTGCAGAAAAATCTTTTACCATTCAGTGAAAATATGAAATAGTTCAAAGTGAAAAAAAAATTCTTTGATAAATGTTTCTTATTAGGTAGGTACGTGTCAAGAACTTGGATTGGTGCCGGGACTAGAACATACTGCCATCATATTTTTTTTTCAATCTGACTTTGGGGACTGAGGATGGAAAATTCTCGCGTAAAAGTGATGTGTTTGAGTGTCAAGCTGATGAGGGGTAGAGTTGTGATGGTTAGTTTTGTAACTTAACACAATCTAGAACTGTGGGCTGGGAGTCTCAATGATGAACTGTCTAGTTTAGGTTGGCCTATGGGCCTGTCTATGATGGATTTTCTTGAGTTAACTGAGGTGGGAAGACCCATCTAGAATGTGGGCAGCACCATTTCATGAGCTGAAAATATTCCCAACATGCTTATTGCTAGCAAAGTAGCACACAAAAACCTAGTGGGAGTGTTTTCTATGGTCGTGTTCATGTTTTCTGCTTTTAAAATATTTTATTATTTTTATGTGTATGAGTGTATTGCCTACATGTAAGTGCACCGTGCCATGCCATGCCTGTGGAGGTCGGAAGAGGGCATCAGATCTCCTGGAACTGGAGTTACAAACAGTTGTTAGCTGCCTTGTGGGTGCTGGGAACTGAACCCAGGTCCTCTGCAAGAGCAGCCAGTGCTCTTAACCTCTGAGCCATCTCTCCAGCCCCTGTTCTCTGCTCTTGACCATGGATGTGATGTGACCAGCTATTTCCAATTCCTGCTACCTTGACTTCCCTACAATGATGAGAAACTGTGAGCCAAATAAACCCTTTCTTCCTTAAATCGCTTTTTCAGGGCATTTTATCAGCGCAACAGGAAATGAAACTAAGATGGCATCGTACGGGCTTTGGTTTGTTGGCTTTTCCTTTTTCAGTGAGCTGGCCATCCAATTAATAAATTACAGAAAAGCGTGGCAAAGATTATGAATGGAATGACAGAGTGCTGTTTGAGCACACAGTGGATGCGAGCATGCAAGACCAGCTTACAACGCTGCTCAGGGAAATAACCTGTAAATCCAAGTTCCAAGTTTGAGATGAGGAAGTGAGGTGCTGGGAGGAGGAAGGCAGAAAGCATGCGCCTGAGCAAGGAATGGCATGGGCTGAATTAAAGGCACCAAGGGCCCTGGAGTACCTGCTGAGATAGGCCTTCAGTGGTGCTTTCAAGAAAGGAAGATAACATGGTTGGCAAGTGCGAATATAGCATGGCTTGTGAAAGTGCAAATCAAAGAAGGGAGGGGTCCATAGCGATGGAGACGGGAGAGCAAAGAAAGCAACAGGGCAGATAACGCATGCCAGCAGAGTAAAGAAGGAACTTTTGAATCAGCAGATAAGTGTGCACAGTAGGCAGGTCAAAGCACTCGATGGACTATACAAACACCACTTGCAGTGGATCAGAAATCCATTTCCACATTTGTTGGTGGAATTAACACTCCAAAGCGTAGAACACAGCACTTCCATAGTAACCTCACACATGGCTGAAATCAGTCTTTGGCAGGTTACGCCTAAGCTCTGAGTGCGCCGTAGCTGCTGGCCACGGAGAAGCCCTGGACCAGTGGTTTTTATAGTCCTCAGCGTTTCCAGATGACCAGTCTGGAAAGGCTCCGATTGTTTTACCATTCGGAGGTGCAGAGTTGGATCAAAAGGGAAAAAAAAATCCTATTAAAGTGAATCAGTCAATGACGTAATCTACTACATCAATGGCAAAAAAAGTGCTTTTTCTTTTACCTCTCAAAGTTGGAAAATGATGAATGAGTTTCACATACTGAACACAAAGGCTGCAAGAAGAGTGTTTCCAACATGCTGGAAACAAATTATATGACAGAAGCAGGAAATGTTTAAAAAACACATCAAAAATTATATTCCAATTACTACATTCTTGAGATGAACACTGCAGGTCAGATTACATATTATTCACATTACAGATTTCTATTTACAATCCCCTGTTTAGACCCATTGAAAGTTTATAGAAATGATTTCCGCTTTAACTGAGGCATGTCTTATAGTTAATTTTAGCTGAGTAATAAAACTTTTGGATAAAAAAGTAAAACAACCAATGTCGTCGATTTCAATTTCCACGTGGTAGGAAAAGCTGATATTTATTGAGAGTTTATGATGTGTGAGTCAGTATGGTAACTGATTTGCAGTATTGTACAAAATACGAACAGTATTCCTTTGAGAGACTTTGTCCTTTCAAAGAAGAAAGTTATTTTACTATTATAAAATTAAATTTCAAAATCTGTGTGTTAAAGAAACAATTACTGGCCTATGTTCCAAAAATGAAGCTTTAAAAAATACATCTAAAGCACAGAATGCTCGAGTCAACTTCACATAGGCCAAGTTCAGATTTTATAACTGTTTGAAGAAACTGCCCTCTGTGTAGAATGTTTCCTTTCTTGTAGGCAGAGGATGGAAATTGTGGTTAAATCTCACTGGCCACCTGTAAGGTCTATGAGCCTAGCATGGCATGGCTTTTACTTTTCAAAAATGATTCCAAAATATCAAAATCATATTAGTATTTCAAAACACTTGAAAATTATATAATAATAAAATCACCATGCCCAGAAATAAGGTTTTATTGGAACATGGCCACACTCATTTGCTTGTGTGCTGTCTATAGCTGACTTCACATTGTTACAACAGAGTGATGGAGAACACACCCTACAAAACCTAAAATATTTATTTTATGGGCCTTTATAGAAGAAGTTGGCTGACCTGTGCTTTTAAACAAAAAGAAGAAAATTACATATACCACTATCCAGGTTTATCTACCCAGAGTTTCGAATTCTGACTTGAGAGCACACAGGGTACACACTTTTCCCATTTATTTGTATCCAACATTTCCATGTTATATTTGATAGCAGTACAATATTTAAATCTGGCAGATAAATAGGATGCACATCGGCAGTAGAGCTGAAATGGGGCTGATTTTGTCACCTAGGGGATACCTGGCAGTATCTGGAGACATATCTGTCACAGCTCAGAGTTACTATTGGTAACTAGTGCTACTGGTAACTAGTGCTATTGGTAACTAGTGCTATGAGGCCAAGAATAGTCCCACAGTGAAGAAAGCCAAGGCCGAGAGACTCTGGTCACAAGAAACGGAGAGTCCATCCTAACTTCAAATTATGTCTCAAATACAATTTGCTGCTCGGTGGCGATTTATTTCCATCCCCCCACCATATCTGTATTAATATTTATGAGGAGAAACATAAATTTCTTTACATTTTATGAGCATGTTTTTATGACTAACCATTATCCATCTGTACTGTAATAATTTTCAAAATGGGACAGTCTTGTTTTCAACTGTAAGCCTAAATGAATAATCCTTTTTTCATCACTCAATTACTTAGCTTGATTTCCATTAAAATCCATCTGATTTGATTCTGTATTCAGTTTCTTAAGAGCTTTTCTTCTTCAATCTTAAGCACAGAACAGATGAAGTAAAACAGCCTTTTGATGTCAGGGTGTCAGGATGGCAGAGTTGTCAAAGTATGAACTCAACTGAATGCTATAAAGACAGACGGGCAGGAAGGGAGGAGACGGAAGGCAGGCCAGGGAATCCAGCACTCCAGATGCTAATCAGCACTTAAAAGACCAAGGAGGGGAAGACCAGGGCTGATGAAGCACCCAGCATTAGCAGATTTCAAGACTATAAATCTCATAACTGACATAAGGGCTGCAATCAAGTGATATTAACTCATATTCAAACTTTTAAATTTTATCCCTATGGAACAAATCAAATCACTAGGAACTGTCCTTCCATGTCTTCTTGCAGGAGTGTCCAAGGACACATCAATAAATGTGTTCATTACTTGAAAGACAGATTGTTAGCCACCATGTGGGTGCTAGGAACCTGGGTCCTCTGTAGGAGCAGCCAGTGCTCCTAACCACTGAGCCATCTCTCCGGCCCCATAATCAACTTTTACAAGTCAACTATTTAACTGCTTCCTAATCTTGGAGGTTATTCTTGTCTTGTCATGCTGTTACTCTCACCGCCTCTCTCAAAATCTTCCATTTTCATACACACTCAGTAACAGTCTTGCTCATACACACACCCTTCCACATTTCATAAACTGTACCTTTTCACCTGCATCACCTTTGGGGCCATTTTCTCCAGCATCTCCCTGAGAACAGGACAAAGTAACACATTTAAATATGTTGGTGATATTAAGCAAAAAGTGTTTTCCATTGAATTCTCTTCCAAGCACAGCACTGTTAAGTTCTATACAGTACTTTCACTTGACCAGCTGATGGGCATCAATACAATTAATTTTATTACAGTGAGTATGGTTGAGCCCTTTTAAACGTCATCATATGAACACATGTGATTTACGTATCTGTCAGCCTCCTTATAGCTGATTCGGACACTCAGTCTCTCTCAGTCTCTCTGCTCAAGCTCTACCACAGCACAGGCCATCCTGACAGTTACCATAATATACCGTGTCACCTGTTTGCTGTGCCTGTAAGCTTCTTCATGCCATGCCTGCCCATTTGGGCCCCTGCCCACTCTTTCCCCTCCTAGCTGTCTCCAAACCAACCTCAAGACTCCAGAGTCTCAAAGTGCATGGCGTGGCTTTCACAGCCTGTGGACTGAGTATTTATTTGGTTCTACACAGATGGCATTTATAAAGTGGAACTTTTCTAATGTATTAGAAAATTTCTTTTCTAAATCATACTACACTGAGTTTGGAGAATCTGTGCTTCCTTGGTTAGTTTTGAGACTTCCTGTCTGTGTCTGCTCCTTCAGGGACAGCCCCTTTCTGCTCAGACGAATGTGTAAAATGGGAGAGGTACTCATTTGTTCTCTGTGCTTTGCCCCTTAAACTTTAAATTCTTTAAGCCTTACAGTATGTTGTAGTGGAAATGTCATGGCTTTGACATTCAGGAAGAGTCTGGCTCTGGTACTTACTGGACAGATGATATTCTCTGCGTTGAGTTTATCTTAGGTAATGTAAGGGTAAGGATACATTATGTCATTATAAGAAGTAAGTCATATACTGTGTAGAGCACCAACATTGCCTTTCACAGCCTCTACCATCAGTTGGAGGTAACAGTGCCTCAGCAGTCCTGGAGTTCATGGGCTGGAATGTTCACCTCTCTAGCTTTGTAGTAGGTTACTTTTCTACTATTTAAACAGTTCCATAAAATAAGAAAAAATATTAGCCGGGTGTGGTGGCACACACCTTTAATCCCAGCACTTGGGAGGCAGAGGCAGGCAGATCTCTGTGGGTTCGAGGCCAGCCTGGTCTACATAGTAAGTTCCAGGACAGCTGGGGCTACAGGGAGACCCTGTCTCAAAAAGACCAAAAAAAAAAAAAAAAGTAGAAGGGAGAGACTTTCGCTTTTTCCTCCAAAGTTTCTTTAACTGTTTCAAATAAGTGTGGACACAACCCGCTCGGCATCTATCTGCAGTGACAGACACTCGGCAGCAGCCAGGAGCTGGCAGCACTCCATCTGATGAACCCGAGCGTGGTGTTGGCATGGCTCTGTCTCCCTCCTCAATTTCTATATGAAAGCTATTTGATGACTAATTAATTTCAAGTTAATTACCATGAACTGATTCAGTGCCAAAAATTGCACTGGTCATCTATTCCAAGGCAGCATTGGTTTTCTTGCATGCTTTTAAAAAATTTCCCTGAAAATCCCTTTAAAACACAAACCTCATGAGGAAACTCATGAGGGCTGAGTGGCTGTGAAGTAAAGGCTCAAGTGTCCCTTAATAAATGGCCTTTTACACCCTTATTTGGATCTTTTTATATTTTAATAATGCAATTTTCCCTTTTGCCTTACAATGCAGAACAATACAGTTAAATTAAGAACTATTTTCTTGATCTTTAGGTGACCTTCCTTTGCAGATAGGGGTTTACAATATTTGTCAGAGACTCTCACACAGGAGGAGCACAATGTGTGATGGTATCTAGCTAGCTCTGCTCAGAAACATCCCTGAATGCTATCATAGTTAGCAGCATGAGATCCTGAATTATAAACACCACCATGCACACCAGGAGTCTAAAAACAATCAGGACAGGCCCGACAGAAGCAAGGGAAGGCATCCAAAGGGAATCTAACATGCAACACCTTGCTTCTCTTTCTTTTATTTATTTATTTTTTTTGACTTTTTGGTTTTGATGGGAATTCCTTGTGGGGCAACTTTCAGATAATTATTGCAGGTAAACATCTGTATTCCTTCCACCTAGGGTCGTAAGAAGTAAAGCTTGAGGAGGTACTTTGGGAAGTGTGAGAATGCCACAGCAAGTAAGTAGAATGGAAAGATTTTTTAAAAATATTTTTATTTATTATTTTTATTTTATGTGTATGTGTGTATTGCCTGCATGTAGGTAAGTGCACCCACATCGTGCAGTGCCCACAGAGGACAGATGAGGCTGTTGGATCCCCTGGAACTGGAGTTACAGACAGTTGTTAGCCATGTGGGTGCTGGGATTCAAACCTGGGTCTTCTGTAAGAACAGCCAGTGTTCTTAACCACTGAGCCATCTCTCCAGCCCTGATCGGAGAGATTTTTATTATGATTTTTATTTTATGTGTATAGGTGTATTGCCTTCACGTATGCAGGTTGCATCCATGCCATGCAATGTCTGTGGAGGACAGAAGAGGGCTTTGGATTCCCCTGGAACAGGAGTTATAGACGGTTGTTAGCCGCCATGTGTGTTTTGGGGATTGAACCCAGGTCCTTTGCACAGGCAGCCAGTGCTCTTAACTGTTGAGCCACCTCTTTAGCCCCAGGACAGAGAGATTTTTTAAAGGCCTAGGGAAGAGCCTGACATACAAGTTTTGCCCCCCTTCTCTCCTTCCTTTCAACCTAAAACACAAGAATAAAAGTATTTTCTCCTTCCACTAATTAAGAGTCTGAAAGACAAGCAAATGAACACAACTACTGCTTCCTCCCCAATCTCTGTTTACCATAACCATTAGTCCATCAGTCCATCTGTCCATTCATCAGTCCATCTGTCCATCCACCCACACATCCATCCATCATCCATCTATCCATCATCCATCCATCATCCATCTATCCATCATCCATCCATCATTCATCCATCCATCCATCATCCATCATCCATTCATCATCCATCTATCCATCTGTCTGCCCATCTGTCCGTTCATCCATCCATCCAGTTCAGCTTGGGTATATCTTTGGAGAAGGGAGAAGATAAATACAGGCAGAACCATTCTTACCTTTTCTCCTTGTTCTCCAGGCTCTCCCTGAGTACAAAAACAGAGATTGGGAGACATTGAATTAGTGATGATCTAATTAAGCAATATCAGACAAAACAGATATTGAGTATATATTGAGGAGCTGGAGAGATGGCTCAGTGGTTAAGAGCACTGTGCTCTTGCAGAGGACCTGGGTTCGATTCCTAGCACCCACATGGTGGTTAGTAACCATCCTAACTCCAGTTCTAGGGGATCTGACACCCTCTTTTGACCTGTGCGGACATTGCATGACAGGGGTGCCCTTACATACATGCAGGCAATACACTCACACACATAAAATAAAAATAATAAATAAAATAATTTAAAAAGTCACCAAGGAATGGGTTGAGGCCTTAATGGTAGAACAGTGTAGTAACTTAGTATCTGTTCAGACTCAATTAATAAAGTGGATTAGCATGTCCTTCCATAAAGCCATCTGTTAAAAACATACCCTGATGCATGTATTTTAAGGTTCTAGACCTCCAGTACCTTCCCTTACAAGTGCCCAGAACTCAGACCCCATTACAATATCATGAATTCTGTAGCTGGTGATAACCAACACATAGATCAATATGCCAAATGGAGTGGAGCCTTAATCAGTGTAGGAGAGAGGTCCTTACTCAAAATGATGGCCAGGAAAGTGCAAAGACTAAAATGCAAAACTTCTCAAAAGAGAACTGTATTTTCCCTTTCCCTGGGAAAGGTTGGGGGACGGAGAGGAAATGCTCTAAAGTACATACACACTATGATGATATTTCCTGATGGAAGCGTTGCTATGAGACCAGACTGCTTCGAAAATGGTATAAGGTGATTATTATGGGTAAAAACAACACAAAGTAAGATAACACTCGTGAAGTTGTTTGGCGGCATGACCCTTCATTCTCTGGAACTCAACCTGACCCTTTGGCTCCCTGCATTTCTGGCAACACATGAACAGTACTGTGAATATGCATTAAGCATCAACTCCCACCATAGGCCTTTCTAGCAAAGAGCAAGAAAGGGAAGAAGACAGTAAATGGCTGGAGTCCCAGAAGGAATATTTCCATTCTTCTCTTCCAGGACAAACGGCAGGTCTATAAAGTTTAGGTTTGTCCTGGGCACCTGTCAATAGCACTGTGATGTGTAAAATCAGCTGACAGGCATCTGTGGGTATGGATCCACACCAGCACAGCTGATGGGATTAGACATCAGTTTTGTACTTCAAGGGGTGGTCACTCATCAAAGGATTTGGGATTTGTCTGCCTCCTTGGTTTAAATGAAACTGTCACCAATCTTTTTATATTTAACAGATTCCTTTGTTCTTCAAGAAACAAAGAAAACATGCAATCCAAAAAAAAAAAAACCTCATTACATTTTTCCCCTATTTAGTAATTCAAATTACATCCATTTTTAAATTTTAAACATGCCACATCTTTAGTCTGTTCTTTGTCTGATTAACTGGTCCTGTTGTATAGAGGCTGAAGGTGACTGACTCCTGAGGACAAGCCATCATGGCACCATGAACGTCATCTGTGGTGAGGCTCGCTAATCTGTACATTTAGGCAGTATGAATATACCTGTTGCTTTCATAGCCTCATTAAGAGGTAAAATAACTAACCATTTTGAAATGGGGCTTTCTGAAGCTATTTGACTATTTCGCAAGAAAGATTTTAGACAATCACATCCTATTTCTTTTTCTGCATGTCCAAAATAGTAAACATAATTTATTCATTAGTTACAAAATTCTATAGCATAGTAAACAATTTACCAAAAATTCTATCCAAATATGACCAGAAGGATAGCCTAAAAAAAATGACAGCTTATAACTGTGCAGAAAGCGATGCAGTTGATGATTGTGTTTGGCTTTATCTATACAAACCTTTGGCCCTGGTAATCCACTCTGTCCTGCTGTTCCAGGAGATCCAGGCTCACCCTCAAAATAAAAAGTAAACACTACTAAGTAAAACAAACCAATTTAACACATTATAGAGAAGAGATGACATCCAAGAATGCGCTACAACAACACAGAATGAATGACAATTTATTTTACATATTTGAAAACAACGCAGTTAACAGGGTTAATTTCTTTTGTGCAGTTTTTTCATCATTAAGAAATCGGAAGCAACTTTCCAGTGGGGTTTGGTAGCTAATATGGTCTGGGTACATCACAGGCATCTATCTGATTGAATGAACAAAGGACATTTGCTGATGAAAAATTTTCTTGGTGGAGAACTTTTAAGTGATTCATTAGGTCTCAGTTAAATAAATACTAAATGACTAGATTTTTTCATATTGTAGTTAATCAAATTAACATTTAAATCTAGAGCATACATAACTTTGAACACCTACGTAACTTACTTAAATACATTTGATAGAAGAGTAAAAAATAAAAATGGTTTTGATTTCTCTTTTCCAACTTATTGTAAAATAATATAAATAAAGCATGCAGACGTCTTCCCATCAATGCCATACTGAATGACAGGCTTTTGTGAAAAAGATAATGGTTATTAGGCCAGAAGGATGCCTATTTCAGACAGATGGTTCATGCCAATCTTTCTGGATTCTAAACCAGCAATTGTTTTCCAAAAAGGAAGAACAAACAAACAAAAAACCAAACAGCAACAATCACAAAAAAAGCCCAAATCCCTTGAAGTGTTCAGAAACAAAAGACATGTGGTCCCATGGCTTATACTGTTGGTCAATAGAAGTTTTCATTTATAAAATGTTCCCAATACCCTGACTGTATGCTTGAACTACTGGACAACTTTCTTTTTCCATTTAAGGGAAGGAAAGTTGCTTCTTAGTTGATTTTTTTAAAGACAGGTTTTATTTTGACTTTAAGAGCAGTTTTGGGTTCACTGGAAATTTAATTCACTTTGAACAGTTTTCTAAGTAACAGTGGGTCATTTTTGTATTTGACTTCTCAGGTTCAAAAACATGTACATTAATAATAACTAATATTCCTTTTTGCATATTTTAAACATTTTATTTATTTATTATTTTTGTGTGGGTATGTGTATGTGTACATGCGTGTGTGCACATGTGCATGCCATGGCATACATGTGGATGTAAGAGGACAACTTTCAGGAGTGGATTCTCTCCTTCCATCTGTGAGTTCTGGGGATCAGACTCAGGTTGTCAGGTTGGTGGCAAGCACCCTTATCCACTGCCCCATTTCTTAAATGCTAAACGTTTTACATTCATTAGCTCAATTATCAAAAATTTATATAGGCATTAATTGCATGTATTTTGTAGGTGAAGAAACTAGACACAAAGAAGTTAGCATTCTATCCATATTTATGCAAAACAGTCAATATTTGTCTGGTTGTGACCAGACACCTAAAAGGTTGTGTTCTTTGCCTTATGCTTACCAGTGAATGAATGAGCATATCTAAAAACAGAGAGAACAGATGATGAATATTTATCACTTTTTATCATTTGGTTTGGTTTTTATCTCCCATCTATAAGTGGCTCTTTCAGAAGGTATAGGAACCTGAAATAAATATAACCTATAGAGAGATAATGTGTATACACCTATCAGATAAACTAGCCGTGTGAAGCTCATGTGCTATTCTCATTGAAGAAAGCATTTTACTCTTTTACTGCTAAAGTCTTGATCTCCCCAAAGAAAGTCACATTATAATAGCAACTCTTGAACTTCCTCTGGTAAGATGACAAACTTATTGACTTAGAATAATGCTGGCCGTTATAGGGAAGCTTTAATATGCCATTTGGACATAGCAAAGGGCAAGACTTGGAAACAGAATCCACCCTGAAAGAGGACTATCACTTTCCATGCAAGCAGAAAGGAGCTATCCAGTCTGCCTTCTTCAAAGAATTCGCAACAGGATGCACTAATATCATAACTCATGGTTTAATGCACATAAGAGATGCTGCCAGGGAACAATATAAACTTTGTTTGGACTTTGAAAGAATAACCATGGTAGCCAGAGTTATTTTTACTAAAAAATGGTTAAGTTCCTGGATTTGGACAAAACTCATGCTGAGATCTGAAGGACTGAAGAAAAATGTCGGTGAGGGATCTGCAACATTGTCCTTAATATACGAACATCCAGGAATGAAAAGTTTGTCTCTTCCTTGGACTGTACATGCTGCTAAAATAAACTTTAACATAAGGTGAAACAAAGAAATTGTACTTATAACCACATCACCCTCTGGTAATTATTTTCATATTGTTCTATTTTTCATGAAGTCTTTTTTTTAGCTTATATATTTCCACACAGGTCTAAGCATATTCTATAGTGTGATGTTATGAATTTTTATCTTTATGCCATTTAATTTTTTTTCACAGGATACTCATAATTGTCTCATGAGTAGTTTGATTAGACGCTATTAAAGTCAGGTGTGATCAATCTTTTAATCAGGTCTACGTTGTTAAATACTCAGACTGTTTAAAATAAACATCTCTATAAATAGGCTCATATTTTTCTGTCAAATTCTTTTAATCATAAAAAGATCCTTGAATTTGTTTTGTGTCACTAGAAATATTTTATGGCACTAACTGAATGTTTCTAAATTGTTTTCTAAATGGGTTCTAAGTTTTCTTTGCTCTTTTGAATTAATTTTTTATTTTACATGTATGCATGTTTGCCTCCGTGTGTGTGTGTGTCTGTGTGTCTGTGTGTGTACCACATGCATGCCCTAAGAGGTCAGAAGACAGTCTTGGACTGGAGTTACAGATGGTTGTGAGCTACCATGTGGGTGCTGAGAACCGAACCTGGGTCCATTGCAAGAACAGCAAGTGTTTTTAACCGCTGAGCCATCTCTCCGGCATTTTTGCTTTTATAGGCATCCATTTTGTACTTTCACAGCATCATCAGCATTAGATATTACAACTTTAATACTTTTGTGGCTGTTTTATGACATTATACTTATTGGGATTTCATGTGCTATGGAGTACATGTGGAGGTCAGAGGACAACTTGTAAGAGTCAGTTCTCTCCTTCCACTATGTGGTTCTTAGGGACTGAACTCAGGTTGTCAGGTCTTATGGCAGGCATCTTTAGTCACCGGGCCATTTGAATGGCCCTATTTTTGTGTCTATTTTAATAAGCAAAATTAAGAACTTAACTATTATTCAATTTTACATCACTTTTTTACTCACAAGTTAAATAATTTCTCCTGTATTTATAATTTAAATAGGTATTCACAAAACTTTAAAGATGAACAGTGACTCAAGCTGTTACTTAAATGAACCAAGGAAGGACAAAAAGAAGGAATGTGGCATTTTTATTTTTTTACTAGAGGCACTTTTGCCTCTAATAAATCACACCAAGAAAAACACATGCAAAGTTAGAGTAGGGGCTATGGAACACAGGGCGGGGCTTTTCTGTGTGTGTGAGGGTGAACTAGTGTCATGGTTATTGGACAACTCATCCATTTATTTCACATTTCCAAAGTGAACTGTAGACACTCCACAGACAGTAATAAGGCGAAACAGCAGGTAACTTCTTAACTGCTGGGCTTTCTCATACTGTACATTTTAAGGTTATTCCTAGTACATTTCTCGAATGGCCACTTCCATATTTAAATAAGTTGGGCTGACTTTTAAGAGGGATAGATGGCTGCTTTCATTTTTTTAAAAACCAAATTCTCTTTAGAACTCTAATAGAAAACATCACTCAAGGCTTTTACAATTATTTCAGGTACTGCTATTCAAGAGCAGCTTGCAAGGATCCTTAAAGATGGAAAGGAATGCAGTTTTCTAACAAAGATTGAGTGCCAATGGAAGCAGGTCATTCAGCAGGTCACTAACGCTCACTACCTCTTCAATCAGAACAATTTTCCATTCTGCCAATGGAAATTTAAAAGGAGTCACAGCTTAAAAGTTTTAGCATAAAATCATTTTCATCTTGTCAAAACAGATTTGTTTCTTTTCAGTGTCACATATTTAGAAAGAACCCCTCCAAAAAGAAGAGGAAAATAACTTTAAGGAACATGACCCGTGTAGTGGACAGAAAGGGTGACATAGGGCACAACACAGCCTTGGTCTCTAGGCCTGCGGATGATAGTGCAGAGGGTGTAAAAAGATTGAAAATTGACACTATTGGGCCTCTCACACCTCTCTAAACAGTGTGCACTGGGCCCGCCTTTCCAACAGTAACCCTCGGTACACAGAAGGTCTTGGTGGTTCCCATGGGGAATAGGAACAGCATTTAGTAAGTAGTTCTCCCTCTGAAAGCAGTCACAGTTAAGTGCTGGACTTCAGAGCCTCAGAGGCCTTGGCAGCCATTGGGTAAGAGCATTTAGGAGAGGAGAGGCTCTTTGAATGTCATGAGGCACCAGAAGGAAATTCTCACACATCTTTCCTCAGAGTCAAGGAAATAATGTTCCCACCCTCCACACACAGTGATTCATTCTACTCCAACCTGCCTAACCCTCCTCTCTCCATTCTGTACCCACAACTACACTCTATTTTATTTTAGTTTTTCATATAGACCCTTTCATGGCAAATGGGTACGGAACACAAACTTGGGCAAAGATAGGAGGTGCAAACTGGCCAAAATGTTTTAGTTTGAAGTTTACCTAAATGCATCTTTTACCCATTTAAACCAGAAAATAAGAATCTTGTCCAACTCTGACTATTATCAATGCCCTGGATGCAACCTTTGTCTTTCAAGCACCCGCACACATCTGTGAACTCCCGTGGATGCACATACACTCAGTTTATGATGCTATTTCCACTGGTAACACAGTGTGGCAGCTCCACTGCCCTGTTCACCAGTGTGCGTGGCCTGGCCAGGTGAACATTCACCCTTGAGGACCATGTCTGTTCATGTTTCCTCTGCATATTTTAAATTTAAAAAAACAACTCATCTGTATATTGGAGACTGCTACACAGGGTACTCAGTAAGAGGCAAACATATTTTGGTGGCAATATAATTAAAACAAAGACATTTAGGTGATAAAGCCT